AGGTACCATGCCAACAATGGCATATGGCTCTGCTGTGCATACTTTAGGGGCTGCAGCGTATGTACCTAACAAACAATCTAAAGTCTTAGCTGTTAGCACATTTGTCTTTTCTGTTTCTGAACCCAGGGCATATGCTAAATGCACACTCACCCCAGAGCCACACTCCCAGCAAAAATGTGAACTTTTGTTCTTACAATGTTAAGAAAGCCCGAAGGTAAGATACTGAGAAAACTCTTTGAGAATTTCACACAGGACCCCTGCATGCTACACAATGAGTCTCAGTCACAAGGTTGAGACAAGATGATTGCTAGCTTGAGGCCAGTCTGAGCTACACAGTGAACCAGTCTGTCCTGGGATACATAGCAAGACTGCCTCAAAACCAAACCAATCCAAACCAAACAAAATACTAAGTCAGGTACTTGTATTATTATTTCACTCATGGTAAGCCTAGAAAGGTAGAACTATTAAGAAATCTAATTAATGGTTCTTAGAGGTGGGGATGAGAGGGGGAAACTGATTGGGAGGAGGTAATGAGCCTCGAGAGGCTCACAAAACATTTCCCAACTCAATTATGCTAGTGACTCTATCCGACTCATCAAAGCATCTCAGACCTGCTGGGCACAGTGGCATTGGAAGGCTGAAACAGGAGGATCAAGGTCATCCTCTCTTATAAAGTGAGTTCAAGGCAACATCGGGGTTCAAGAACCTATCTAAAAGAATAACAAAAAATCAAAATTTATTCAATTATACACCAGTGTGAATACTGGCAGATCATGCTTTAAAATACATCTAATAGGAGGCTTGTGCCAAAGAATACTGTATTTCTGTATGTTAACAGGGGAAAATTAAACTTAAAATGTCAGTAGCCAACAAAGCACTGGGGAGTCCTGCTAATCATTGTCCACTGCTTTTTGTGGAAAACTAAGACACATCACTCAAGTAAGGATATAAACAATGAAGGAAACGAAGAGAATAAAATATATAAACAATTCAGTTAGTGAAAGCTCACCTGCAGAGTCAATATCTGAAACAAAGCCAGAATTTCTAGACATTACATTCTCTCTTCTCTCTCTCTGTCTCTGTCTCTCTCTCATACATATGGAGGTCACAGCCTCTATGGGAGCCTTTCTTCCTTCCACTCTGTGGGTTCATTGACCCCAGGCTTGGCTAAGGACATATACTCTCCGAACCATCTTGCCAGCTCTAAACCAGACTTTTAAGCAATCAAAGCTTAAACCTCTCTAAAGCTCTTGGGAGATGCATTACACAACAGAAAGTAAGGCAAGCTTCCAGGAGAAGACCTGCGGACTCTCAACACCCTACGAAAATGTAAGGAGATATTGATGGTGGTAACTCCCAACAGATGATGCTGGTACAAAGCTACACATTAAACACAGTGAGGAAAGTGGGCACTCTAGCAGGCGATGCCAGTTACATCACTGATTCAAATCAACTAAGATATTAGAAGAAAACAGAGGACAACACCATCATCATGACCTTGGGATGGAAAAAAAATAAGAATCTCTTTTTGTTAACATATGCCACTTAGATCTAGAGGGCAGAGTCTGAGAACATATTTGCATATATCACCCAAACATCTCCTACATTAAAATTACTTAGAATATATTTTTTTTGTTGTTTTTATTAACCCATCAAGTGCATAAAAATGAGTGGAGGCAGAGTTTTCCTGTCCCATAGCTACTCTCAAATAATCACTCAGAGGATCAATACTAATTACAAATACTCAGCCAATAGCTCAGGCTTGTTATTAACTAGGTTTTACAACTTAGCCCACTTCTATTAATCTACATGCTGCCCTGAGGTTAATGGCCATTTTGTGTGTCTGACTAGTTCTTCATCTGGCTGGCAACTTTCTGGGTCCACCCTTCTTTATCCCTGCATCCTTGTTTTGGTTGTCCCACCTATAATTCCTGCCTGGCTATTGGCAAGTTAGCTTTTTATTAACAATGAAAGAGACACACATTTACAGTGTACAAAGATTGTTCCACAGCATATGAGTAAGTGAACGATTGCAGGAAATGGCGAGTTCTAGGGAACTACATTAAACCATAAAGTCATCTAGGAGAAATAACTCTTGGCTTTCCCTGGAAGGAACGGAACATACATAAACACTTGGGCTTGATGTTATGGTCATTGCTGGCCTTTGGCAGGGAAAGCAGTGTTCAGAGAAGGGACTCAGGCTTATTGAAGGAGGAGCACACATCTTTCACTTAGAAAACAACCCGTTTCCCCAGAACATTAAAAAACTATCTAGGGTAAGACTGTAGTAAAACTAAGAGGCATGCATGTATAGGGCACATCTGGTTACAGTAGAGAAAAGACAATGACAAGGAGTGCACATGTCAAAGGGAAGGGAGGAGACACAGAAAAGCCACCATTTATCAAAGCTGCACAAGAGAGTCTCCATCTTGGTCTTCTGGCTTCCTTCGACCAGTGTTCTCTCACCCATGTTTGTTTGTTTTTTTAATTATAAACTTAGAACAAGTTCTTACTGCAGGCACCTCATGCACGTGTTGCTACTTAAAGGATAAATTAAAACAAGGCATTTTGTGTAAAGCAAATAGATTTATTATGCACTTCATGTACATTGGGAAGTTTTCGCATAGTATAATACAAGGAATAAAATAAAACTTTACACTGTGAAATTCAATGTACATTTCAGGTTATTTACACACCCCACACAGCGCGAACAATAGAAAGAAGACATTTGTGGAAAGTGTTGACACAAAGCAAAACTAACAGTTGCATAGCCAAACAGCATAATGACTCGCTCCTGTCTCTGAAGTAAGGGACTGTTTTTGGCTGAGGAATCTGGTAGGGGTGGGAGAGAAAGGAACAAACGATATTTGCTGTACACCACAGGGTGCTGATTTCTGGTCCTCTTTTCCCCCAAACTTTCCTGGACCCCCTCTCCAGATGTTTACTTTTCTGACATTTTACCACTTGTCATACCAGTGACACTAACCTTAAGGAAGGGGTGTGAAGGAACGTTACAAAAAGTTATAAACACATGACATCGCACACAGCTGGATTTATAAAATTTAAATATTTGAATTTTAAAAATAGCTATTTATTATTTACTTGTGGGACTGTCTCTTATCTTTGTAATAGAGCAGAAGCCATTGTTTCTCCCCAGTTGTGGTACTATCCCCCTCCCTATTCCAAATTGAACACAGTGGAGTGGCTGCAGCACTCTGGTTAGACTGACTCTCACCAGAAGCCATTTTTGTTCTATTCTAAATCATAACTGAAAACAAAACAAATAAACAAAAACCCACCTTGAGGAATACTTATGAGAACCCTATTTTTCCAGCAGGCTCTCCTCCTACCAGCTGGTCCATGTATGTAAAGATGGCTACAAAAACACCTGGAAAATACAGATCCCTACTGCAATGAGCTGTCTTTGCCCTTTGGTCACAAGGTGCAATTTTGTAAAAGCAATAAAATTAAATAAATATGATTTCAATAATTCAAGATTAATAGAAAACTGGCAGCTTTCAGGGTTCTCTTCCCCCCAAAAAACAACCAACCAAACAAAAAACAATAAAAGATACACCTAATAAGAAGTCAGAGGGTCCTCTTCTATGGTAAATGTAGTGTGTGTGAGAGATGGAGTCACACTGGTCCTAGTAATAGGGTGTGATCACACTTATCAACAGATTCAGAAACACTTTTAAGGCTGCCTTGCAAGAGTCCTGTTAAGTGTCATTAATCAACGTCCCATAGGGACAAGAATTCAATCCATGAGACATTCACATTTGACTCGACAGTATCAACCATGCCATCACCTAAACTTTGAGTGAGTTCATCCATCAGCTGTCCTTCATCCTGGTTATGACTGACAAGATGACACACAGGAAATGAATTTGGCTGACATTGAAAAACAAAGCAAGGAAAAGCTAGCACAAAGACTGAAATGAGAATCACTCATCACAAGCAGTTACACAGCTGGCCTTCCACGAACAGCACCACTTGTGCCCTTCACACATGATGACCATTACTGGCCTCTCATTAAAACATTCCAAAGTTTTCAGTAGTAGCAATGGTTTTGTGCTTAATTTCCAAATTTTCTTTCCCAATTCCCCCTTAGCAACAGCATGAGGAGAGCAGAGAATCTCCAAGGCCTGGGAGATGAACAGGACTATAGTGCTCAATGGTCAAACCGCCCTTGGCTTTTAAATCATCCTGTTAAACATTTGCACAATCCATCTAACCTGCTCCATGTTCCTGGTGCCAATGCATCCCTTAATCATGGCATCCAGCCATCTTATGTACAGTTGTGCAGAGATGAAAACAGGTAAGAGAAATGTGTCCAGAAAAATGCAAGCCCATCACTTCTATCAAATTATAAAACATATGTGCTATGACTAATGGTTACTGGTATCACTTGTGGATAGCACATCATACATTCAAGAACATCCATCCCACCAAGTCATTTAAATGTACCCAATTGGTTCTGATTGGGGCTAATTTGGTTATGCAGTAACTGGCAAGTGGAAACAGCTCAGAGCAGTGAGCATTCAATCACAACGATAGATTACATAGATTCATTCAGCTGAAGGAGGTGAAGGCAGCCGGTGGATGATACAGGGATCAGAGTCATCCTTAGCTGGACCTGGAGCCTCTGTCTGCACATGTGCCCTAGGTACTAACTACTCTGTTCCTGAGAATGTCTAAGCTTCAGGAATGATGGTCTATCTACTTGCAATTGGGATGACAGGCAGGCAGAAGCTGGCTCAGAGCCTCTGTGAATGCACAGAGCTCTTCTGCCTGTTGTCAGAGTGGCCAGAGTTTGCCTGCTCTGTCATTCAGCCTTACATAGATGGTACTTGACTGGATCTAAACTACCAGACTCTTTACATCACCAGAATTGATGCTCGTGGAAAACTTGTCACAGTCATTTTTTTTTTTTTTTCACCTCCATGTGGCATTAACAAAGAAACTCATTTTTCTCCAATGCTGAAGGTTAGCAGACAGAAAACAGTTGCAAGAATTGCTTTATTGAGTAACATTTTTAAATACACAAGAACCAGGAACACCAGACAATGCGATGGGACTGAGTACACGCCACAACGCAAAAAAACAATAAATACGGAACACTGCCTTTGCGGAGACACCTGACTGTGGCACATGCACATTTACCAAATGGGAAAATACTCCAAACTGGGCTTGGTTGTATTGAGGAACCACAGTTTACATATCTATTTATTCAGTGTGGTGGAAACTGTGTCAGCATGGGAATTACGCTGCGAATGGCAGCCTTACTGGGTAGGCACATGACAGTACGTCAGGAAACAGTACCGAGGGAGTCACAGTCTGGCCAGCACATCCTCAGGTGTCTTGCTTCCATATGGCAGCTGGATGGCCATTCTGACCACAAGGCCTTCTGTTTCACAGAAGGGGAAACTGGAAAAAGAAAGAAAAAAAAAATTACTAAACTTTTCTTGTAATGACAGTTGTAAGACCTTATAAAAGAAAATTATTCTACCAAATATTTTTCTTCTATCATGTTTTTACTAATTGACACAGATGTAATACTTTATTTTCATAGGAGATATTATGAGTTTGCTTGCACGTGCAGGGAGGGGGTGTTATACAGTCAGAACCAAGTATTTAGAGGAGTATTTTTGAATGACCTTGGATTGGCCATCCATCTGTCTTCACATAATGATGTTTAGTGTTAGGAGATATTTGTAATGATAGTTAATTTTTTAAATTCCTAAACTGTGTCACCAGAGACAAGAGGAGCAGGGATGGAGATACCAGCTTGCCTGTGTGTGGCCATCACCAGAAGTCAGGTCTTTTGTAAAGTTGCTGAACATCAGACAACATGCTTAATGAAATCTTCAGTTTATTTTTAACATGGAAATATGCCTCTGAGGAGCACCCAAGGTGTGAACTTGAGCTCCTGCTACTTCTCTACCCACTTTTACCTATACAGTGAAGTCTCTTTTGAGATAAAGAATAAAAAAGATTCTTATTTAGTTAAAAAAAAAAAAAAAAAAAAAAAAAACCAAACCAAAACAAAAAAAAACCTTAATGATCTGAACCTAATATATGCTCTCCATATCTTGCCCCTAAATATGTTAATAAGTAAATGCTAACCCATACCCTTCCATGGTCCACACCTGTTCATTTTACACGCAAACACCAATAGATTTCTATGAGAGTTACTATAATAAGATTTGATTACCAATTTAAATCTGTGATCTGTTTCTGGATGAAACATCGAAACTAACATTTGGGCCAACTACCTACTAGGCACAGCCCAGTGCTTCAAAAGCAAATAATGAATGCTTAGAAAACAGCAATGTTCCTACCAGAAATCTCCTGGTAGAGGGGAATAGTAATACAGGAAAAAACTCTTAATATAGAATTGATAGATGATATATTCATCTGTTCATCTACTTATCCAGTATGTTTTTACTGAAACACTGCCACAGGTTCAAACAGTAGTCCAAGCATATGAACTCAGCACCGAATACAAACACAACCCTTCAGTTTAACATTTTGAGGGGTAGGGGGAAGGGAAAGGGGAGTAGAGAGTAAATAGTAAATAAGTATCTATGTATGTATGTATGTATGTATGTATGTATGTATGTATCATCAACTGAATATCATGTCACTCATTGTTTCTATTTCTATATTCTATTATCTTCTCATTATTTATATAGCTACATATCTCTTACTTATCTATGTCTATTACCTATTATCTATCTTATCATCCATGTATGTATGTATCCATTACCAATCTATCATCTATTTGTATCTATTACCTATGTACACATCAACATATCTATCATTTATCTACTGTCTATTACCGATTAGCTATCCTATCATCTGTCTATGCATCTGTATCATTCCTATGTCACTTACGTGCTTTGGATAGGAGCTAGAGTTTGGAGAACTCACACTGAGCAGACTGGCTGGGATGAGATCCCACACACATAGAGGGAAGGTGCCTGAAAGGCTTTATGAGCACCAGGAAAATGATATTTTAAGGAACAGGAATGCCCCTTTGGCCCCTTTATCCTTTCCTCTGCATTCTTACCTCTCACAAGGGCGTTTCCTTCTTGTAGTTGAAGCTGGGATCAGAGCCCTCAATTTGGAGCTTCAGGGCTTGTTTAAGATTCAGCTCAGTCTCTGAGGGAGGGAACCCCTCCAGCACCTCCTGATGCCCTCGCTCCTGCACTGTTCGAGGGACAGAGACCCTGCCCAGGAACACCTGATTGCTCTGCAGATGGTAATTGGGGTTGGTCATTATCCCATTCCTCTTCTTCTGCTCACCGCTCTGCTGGTGGATGAGAAACTGCGGCTGGACGCGGCTGCCGTCCTGAGACGAAGGGACCACAATCTTACACTGAGATTCACCCAGTGTCTGTTTAGGTGGGCTACTCCCAGACTTAGTGACAGGGCCTCTTTTGTCAAACTGAGTCATTTCATATTCTAGAACCTTTGGCTGTGAGGAATTGTTTTGTTTAGCTTTCTTCCCAGCTGACCCAGACTTGCTGGAGTTTTCTGATTTGCCTCCTTTATTTGATTTTGTTGACTTCAAACTTGGTTTTACTTGGCTCCATTCAAACTCACTACTGGGAGAATTATGGCTGTGTCCTAAGGACTGGGTTGTGGAGGAGGGGGACACGACCGACTGCCTGCTCCTGCTTCGAGGCAGTGAATGCTGTTGGATTTGCTCCGTGAACGACAGGCTATGGAAACTGTCAATGGGCACCGTTTGAGCTGTGGCTGTGGAGGAAGTTGTTCTCAGAGATGAATTTTTGGAGCTTTTCAGGGAATTGTTAGACAGAGATGACTTCTGCCGATCCACAGTTGAGTCTGGAGACTCTGACGGAGAGCTGAAGGCATGAGCTGGCCCATTGGGCAGGCCCCGGAGGGAAGGCTGCAAGTCCCCTCCACCAGTACCCCCAGAGCTGTTGGACCTGATGGTCAGTGACTGCATCTTGGACGGAGCTGACTGTGGAGGCTTCTGCTCCATTGTGTGGACAGGGGAAGGGGAGCAGCCATTCAGACTGGAAGCACCGTATTTTTCCAACAACTTAATGATTTGAGAATGCCCATTTTTGGCTGCCACTCTCATGGCGGTACGTCCAAATTGGTCGGCGTGATTGGGGTCAGCGCCATGCTCTAGCAACACCTGCACCACGTCCACATGTCCCTCCTGGGCCGCGATGCAGAGGGCTGTGGCGCCTTGGTTGCACGTGTGGTCCACCACAGCGCCGTGTTCTATCAGAAGCTGGACCACTTTGACATGGCCCTGCCAGGCCGCAGACTGCAAGGCTGAGCGCTTCTCATTGTCTGCTGCATTGACATCAGCATGGCAGGCAATAAGCACCCGAACCATCTCCACATGACCCTGCCAGCAGGAGACGTGCAGTGCTGTCCTTCCCTCCGCATCGCTGGCCTCCACGTTTGCACCATTTTCCAAAAAATACTCGGCCATCGTAAGCTGGTTCTCTAAGGCCAATATGTAAAGCGTGGGCCGCCCATCGGCATCTTTGTAGTTCACATCGGCCCCATGGCTAAAGAGTAATTCCACAATGTCCCGGTGTCCTTCCAGGGCAGCAACACGCAAGGCATTTCTCCCATCATAGCCTCTCTGGTCTATGTTGGATTTGTTCTCCAGCAGGATTTGGACACAGTCATAATGGCCCTCCTGTGAGGCCAAAATGAAGGGAATGCGCCCGTCATTGTCAATCTCATTTGTTCTAGCACCTTGTTCGATGAGAGCTTCACATATTAACCTGTGACCCTCAAAAGCTGCCATGTGGAGAGGTGTCCAGCCAGCATCATCTCGGTGGCTCTCGTCTAAGCCTCTGTCCAGGAGAGTGCGCACTACTTCCACATTCCCCTGTGCCGAAGCTATGCTGAGGACTGTCCGGCCTTCACTGTCGATGCTGTCCACAGCTGCGCCCCAGAACAGAAGTGTGTTGACTACAGAAGCATGCCCCATGGAAGCTGCAGCCAGCAGGGGCGTCCGCCCATTGTTATCCGTGTGATCAACATCTGCTCCTCCTTCTAGAAGCAGGTCTACCACATCCACATGGCCTTCGTAGGCTGCCACCAGCAAGGGGGTCATGCCATCCTTGTCACAGTGATCTACCTCAGCCCCTCGATCAATCAAAAGGCTTACAACTGACGCGTGTCCTTTGCTTGCAGGCACACACAGTGCAGCCACAGAGAGAGCGGTTCTGCCATCCACATCCTCGTGGTTTACCTCTGCACCATGGTCCAGCAGGTGCTCTACGATCTCTCTGTGACCCATGTACGCTGCAGCTATCAGTGCAGTTCTCCCTTCATTGTCAGCTTTGTTGACCTCGGCACCATGCTGTAGCAGGTTCAGGACGATGTCCTCGTGGCCACCCCAGGCTGCTGCACGCAGAGCCGTCCGGCTGTCTGCATCCGCACAGTCTACCTTTACGCCAGCGTAAAGCAGGGCAGACACAACCTCGGTGTGGCCTCCCCACGCAGCAGACCTCAGGGCTGTCCAACCGTCCTGATCGGTATGATTGATATTGGCTCCACACCCAATCAAGCAGTTAACAACCTTTGTGTGCCCTTGTCTAGCAGCGAGAGTGAGTGGTGTGTGTCCATGGGAGTCTTCAATCTCTAAATCTGCTCCCCTGGAGACAAGCAAATTCACAACATCCAGACTGCCACTGTATGCAGCATTGGCCAGCAGAGTTCTCCCATTGGAATCACACTGATTGACAGAAGCCCCGTTATCCAGTAATGTTCTAATGGAGTCCTCTCTCTCGAGGGCTTGCCGGACGATACAAGAAGTGCGATCGTCCTCGCTGTTGACATGAGCACCGGCTCGGATCAGCAGCTGCAGCACCTCTTGCTCCTTGGGTATTAAGGTGGACAGAGAGTCTTTGACCGGGGTGCCATTCCAGATCATCCACAGTGCCAGTTCAGCTGGTTCCAACTGCAGATTTGAATTAATCAAGTGCAAGGCAAATTCTTGTGCCTCCAGTGGTGTCAGGTTCCGGGCCTGGCAGGTGTAGCTCATGGCCAGCATCCTGTGACCTTCTGCGGCATTGCACAGGTACTTCTGGGTACAGTGCTTCACATCCAAGAGCCACTCGGCAAAGCTGTGGTGAAACAGAATCTTGGTGCTGCCCAACCCATCCACCAAGAGCTTGGAGAGGACATCCAGCTTGCGCTGAAAGTCTTCCAAGGTTAGAGACATATTTTTGGTCCACACTGCATGGTACAACTCTGTCATCGTCAGGGGCCGGCAGGCCGCAAGGATCACGTTCAGAATGGGCTGGACTTTGGCAAACTGTTTTCGGACAAAAAGTCTCTGGCAGAGCCAGAGATAGAGACCGTTCAGAGTTCCTGGGATGTCTCGGATCTCCCGAAGCATGATGAAATTCTCTACGACTCCGTCCAGCACGCGCTCTAGATACAGGAAACACCCGCTGCTCTTGATGTGCAGCTGGTTCAGAGTCTCCGCCGTCTCCTTGGTGAGGTGCTGCCGGAGTGCCTCCTCTTGATCCAGGCGATGGAGGATGTACTGCTGTACGTCCTTCACGATGTACGCCTTCCTAAGGTCGTCCAAACTGATCTTCCGGAAACCTGCAGAAGATGGCCAGGCAGAGTAAGTAGAATGTAGAGGTGGGCACGTGTGATGAGAATGAACCAAAGCAAATAACCTGACTCATGGGTTAGTATTAATAAGAGAATCCATCAATACCTGCTAGGATGTAAAGCCGCTTTTGTCATGGGGAAACACATGACAAAGCAGTGAATTCATTTTCCTACCAAAAATTTGGCTAGTACTTGTAGCTCAATAACTACTTAAGGCCCTCTGCAAGAAGCATTAAGTGGAAACAGACAGACATACAGAGTTACATCTTGTGAAGAGACACTCTAAATATCAAAGTTTTTACAGGATGACCTTTTTCTCACAAGTAAGAGCTATTTCCACCCATCCGTTTAACTTCACATCAGCATTAATGTGAATGGTTTATATCAAAACAGGGCATCACTAGTCACTCTCTTTATATTACATTGCTTTATGGTACCAAATTAAAACAATTAGATCTCAGACTATCAAGAAATAGCTGGAACCAATGAAGATGCAAATTTGTAAAACTCTAGCACTGTAAAAATAAAGCCACTTACTGCAAGTCAACCAAAACTAAAACTACACTAGTGATGGTTACTCTGAGTTCTTCAGAGCAGACTATGACAGCAGTGGTTCGCAACCTGTGGGTTGTGACTCCTTTGAGGGTCACATTTCAGATATCCTGAAGATCAGATATTTACATTACGATTCATAACAGCAGAAAAATTATAGTTATGAAGTAGCAATAAAATAATTTTATGGTTGGGGGTCATCACAACACAAAGAACTATTTTAAAGAGTCACAATACAGCATTAGAGAAGTTGAGAACCACTGTTATAAAGGGACATCAATGTACAGACCTGGATTTGTTAGACAACTACTTGTCTCATGGAAGTAAAAGCTACAAATAAACTTATTAAGGCTGGTGTGTGTGTGGAACAGCCATCCCAAAATCACTCAAGAGCAGCACAAGGCAAGACTGCAGGTAACCTTTAGAGAAAAGGCACTCCAGAAAGGATCACGGAGTGTTTGACATCAGCAGCAGCCTCAGGTAGAGTCCCATGCTGTGCTGGGGATTATGAATAAACAGTGGGTCACTTGGTGAGTGTGGATAAGTCAAAGGTGATTCTGACATCTGTCTTGACCAACAGGACTGAAAAGGCGTCATTGAAAAACAAGCAGTATGTCTCAGAAGAAGACTGACCACTTCAACTATCTGAACCCAAGCTTGAAATACCTGAAGAAATTTTTTTTAAAAAGCACAATCTTCCAACAACCAACAAGATGAAATAACTCATATACAAGCCCTTTTATAGAGTAGAATCTATAAACACACACACACACACACACACACACACACACACACACACACACACACACAATCCTCCACATCACAAGATAAACTCTGAAAGAAGTTTATCTGAACTCTGAAAGGAAGGTTTAGAATTGAGTCTGGCCTCTCTTGCATTCTTGACCATGTTAAAATGTACTTCGTAGCACTGCCTTAGCCGTGTTACTGCCTAGTGTGCATTCACTTGAGCTTTTCTTCCATAAGGTGAATACTCAGCTGCCTAATGAATTCATGTGTGTGCCTCACGCTGTGTTCCTTTAGAAAACACACTTCAACCAAAGCACATTAGAAAAGGAAAAGCTGGGCAGTGGTGTGAACCTTTAATCCCAGCACTTGGGAGGCAGAGGCAGGTGGATTCTATGAGTTTGAGGTCAGCCTGGTCTACAGCCAGAGTACCAGAATAGCCAGGGTTATACAGAAAAACTCTTGTCTTGAAAACCGAAATCAAAAAGACTCAAAAGGCCACACTTTATTTTGCTTTCATTTAATGGCTGTATTTTAAGTGCTAAAAGTTTTATAAGCATAATTTGGCCAGTGGCATCTTCGATTTGGGCTGTTTACCGATAAGTGGAGATTTAATTATTTTAATTTGATAACATAAAATAAACCCTCACAACATAAAGAAAGGCTGAGCAAACCCCTAGGAATGTCTGACTTTCCACAGATCCCAGCCATTTGAGATGACTGGCCTCTTCCTGTATGTTCATTTCCTTTTTGATTTACAAAGTCATTAAAACAGTTTAGGGAGGTGGTGCATGCCTGTAATCCCAGTATTAGGAAGCTGAGGCAGGAGGGTTATGAATTTGAGGCCAGGCCAGGGTACACAGCAAGGTCTAGGCTTGTGGCTAATAAATAAAACAACTCTAAAGTGGTATGTAATAGTGTTTTAAAGTTTCCAAGATTGTGTGCACACAGACTGATCTATGTGAAAGATTATACAACCATTATGCATAAATATCTATAATTTAAGCTAATTAACTAAGATCATCTGATGAAAACTTGAGATAACAAAAACAGAATTGGGCTAAGCCTCCACAGGGCCAGGCCTGATGCCTTCAAAGTGGGATAAAGAAAATGTATTGAGTCAGCTCTCCTTGTGTGTGTGTGTAGTACTGGGGACTGAATGCTGGGAAAGGGCTCTTACCCATTGGCTACATGCACTGTAAGTCTTCACTCACACACCTGTCGTGTGCACTGTGAAGGAGGTTTTCCTACCTAATTAAATGAGTCAAGTCCAAGCACAGATTACTGCCCGAGTCACCCAATGTGACTGAAGGGGTCAGCATCAAGGCTTTGTGTGAGATGGAAGGAGGAGGAGGTGGAACACAGAATGCATACTATGCAGATGGATACAAAATGGTTACAACTTGAAACACAATCTCTCCCCAAATCTAGAGTGATGTGGATTTAAGAAGAATTGATATTTAGCACCTGTAACAGTTATGTTCAATAAGATAGGATTAGGGCAGAGGGTAGGCAGCTTGTGCCAACAATCCTAGGGAGGCAGAAGCAGGAAGACTGTTACAGGTTTAAGGTACACATAGTAAGGCCTGTTCCAGCCAGAGCAAGACTTAGTGGCAAAAACAAAACCGAAATAAGAGCAGAGGTTTAGTTTAGCACAGTAGTACAAAGCTCTGGACTGAGCTGCAGCACCTAAGGAAGAAAGTACATACACGCACACAAGTACACACATGCACGCACACAGGCACGGGCGTGCACAGAACTGAATTATCCACTGACCAACAACCTTAAACACTGACAATAACTATTTATTGGGTTACTCATATTGGAACTGAGCTCCACACTCACATGGGGAAGTTCCCACAGAGCCTTCTCTTTGAGTTCAGGTCTCTCACTGGCCTGGAACTCACCACGTAGGCTGGGCTGCCTGGCCAAGGAGTCCGAGGACCACTCATGTCTGCCTCTCTACCAAGGAGCCTATCACACCCAGCTTTTTATGTGGGTCCTGGAGCAGGTGCTCTGACAAACGGACCATCTCCCCAGACCCACTGAACCACTTTTCTAATTTCAGTAAAATATTTCAATGGGTATGATACTCCTGGTGCTGCCTAAACAAACAGGTTTGAGTCTCTGCTCACATATCAGGGCACATAGTCATACCCTGACAGGGCCTGACCCCATGCTTACAGACACGTGCTCACACTGTCAGCACCCTGTTTTCACAGAGACTGCATCATAATTGAGAGGATGGTCAGTAAACACTCACATGAAATCCAGACAAAATTTAAGTGATGCTAGATCCATGAAGACAATAAAACCAGATGGGGTGAGTGTGTGACTATGAAGGAGGGAGCCACATATAAACAAGAATGGGAAACAGTCTATGTGTGAATGTCCTATTTGGGTAGTGACCTAAGTGGGAAGATGGCAAGAAGTTCAGGAGATGAACACTTTAGCAGAACATCATGTGCAAACCCGTAAACCAGATGAAGCAACCTGACTTTGCAAACGCTGGCTGAAGAGGATGCAGAGGGAGCCCTCATGCTGAGGCAGGCATGGAAATCACTCATGCACAAAGACTGTAAGTAGAAGTAACCCAGGTCCATGATGGACACAATTCCTAACTCAGCAAGTCCAAGTGGACTGGAGGACAGAGGATCGTTGACCATGCCATTCTGGCAACTGAGGCTAAGTATCTCATCCAAAATGTCTGGAATGGGAAGATTCTGTAATATCTGTATAGACATATGGAAAACAGAAACCACCGCCAAGCACAGAGCCCGTCTGTATCATATGTACATTATGCACACAGCCTGGAATCGCAGGTGATCTTTTAAATATCTCACAAAACAAAATCTGGACTCGGAATTGTTCTTGGATAACTCAGTTTTTGGATTTTGGAGCATTTAGGGTTTTAGGTCTGAGATGAAAGCATAAGGATAATCTAGATGCCAAGGGACAAGGAAAATAAAGGATGAAGAGGAGGCCTGTCATCTTACTTTGGGTTCTTATTGCTGTGATGAAACACTATGACCAAAAGCAACTTGGGAAGGAAAGGGTTTATTTCATAGTATATCTTGTTCTCCGTCATCCAAGGAAACTTAGGGTAGGAAGCTGGAGGCAGGGGCTGACTCAAAAGATCAACAAACAACACTGTTTGCTACTTTGCTCTTCCTGGTTTGTTCAGCCTGCTTTCTTTATACAACCCAGGGTCATCTGCCTGGAATGGCACCGCCCACAGTGGGCTAGGACCTCCAACATCAATTGTCACTCAAGAAACTGCCACACAGGCTTGCACACAGGCCAATCTTGTTCACAACTGAGGTTCCATCTTTCTGAGTGTCTCTAGCCAGCACACTTGTTCATAAGAAAGACTACCCAGCGGATGAGACCAAAGACCCAGCAACAATAGGAATTCAGGTCAAAATGGAATTTTATTTACAAATGAGATGACTAGAATTAGAGCAATGTGTATGAAGCCCTTACCATGCCTCAGGCACATCTAACCTCATAGGACCCCATTTTACAGACAGGAAACAGGAGGTTAGGCAAGCTGCCTGAGGTCACAAAGACAGTGGGTACAATGTGTACCCGTTGTAATGACTCATTTATGCAAACAGAAGACTATAGCTTGGGGCTGGAGAGATGCTCAGGGGTTATAGCATGTGCTACTTTTGCAAGTGAGCTGAGTTTGGTTCCCAGCATCTCCACTGGGCAGCTCACAACTGTCTGTAACTCCAGTTAGAGGATATGTGGAACTCAAGTGTACACATGCACACACACTTAAAAATGAAATGTAAAAGTTCATAATGTATACAGAACACAAAACAAGCTGATGATACTGGATAACTTGGATAGGGAGAAAAGAGACTATACCATACACAGGGGCTGCCACATAGCACTGGCTATGGTCACACCAGAACCTTTCTGTGTGGCCTTAGATTATATGAAGTGCTCTACTTAGCCCTGTCATGATGAAAGGAATGCACATGAGAACCTCTTGCAGGACTTCAGGAGCCATGGGAGAGATCCTGACTAATGACTAATGAGCAGTAAAGTGAATGGACGTACTGAAAAAGAACACAGCTAATTAATCACTGAGTCTTACATGGGAAGAGGGAAAGATCGTTTTTCTATGTGCACACATTCATGTGTGTTGGAGGCCAAGGAATAACTTTGGCTATCACTCTTTTTCTCAGAGCAATTCACCATTTTCTTTGGGACAAATTCTATGCCTATCTGTCTGCCTGAGTCCACGGAAAGAATTTTGGGAAAAAGCCAATGTAAGTGATTTTTTAAAACACACCACGTTTTATTTTTAATATGATCTTAAGGTATGGTGGCCAGAGGCTAAGAGGGTTTATGCAGCAGTTAGGCCTCCACCCACGTATTCTGCTCCCTAGAAGAAACCCAGCCAGTTCTGGAGCACACAACACTCTGGGCATCACAATCTTGCTTACCAGTGAACATTTTAGTGACAGCCCTACTCTGTTTCCGGGCAGAGCAGAGAAGCAGTAGCCACGGGGGGAAGAACTCGTGGTGACCAGCCAAGAGCTCTGCCACAGTCCCAGAGAGGCTGGGCGATGTCTGCTCCCCTTCCATCAAATTGCAGCCTTCGTCCACCGAGTCAACCAGCAGGTAGAGGCTCTGTGAGGGCGGCTTCATCCCCAGGAGTGGGAGCAGCACACACCTGTAAGACAGCCACAGAGCAGGTCAATGTCACCAACAGAGCATTGGAATTCACAGTCTGCATGTTGGCATTATTAGTTATAATGTTATAAAAATGAAGACACTTCAGATAAAAAAAAATGTATCTTCTAAGTAGCTTATTCCTCAATAGTATCAACTTCCACAGTACAATGAGTATTGTGCACTTGCCTGTGTATGTGCTGTGACTCAATGTAATTAAGGGTCATAGGAACTGCATGAAGCTAGGTTTCAACACTCTTCCTAGTGTTCTTTGTCACTTATAAAATGCTTAGACTGACCATGTGGTGAAAACATACAAACTTGGAGGACACAATAGCATGAAGAAACCTAATGTCTAGGTTTGGTTTTTGATCAACTTGACACAAGTTAGGGTCATCTGGGAAGAAAGAGCTTCAGCTCAAAATAATGACTCCATTATACAGGTCTGTGGGCAAGTCTAGTCTGGACTGCATTTTCTTGATAATCACTGATGTGGGAGGATCCAGCCCACTGTGAATAATGCCACCCTGAGCAGGTGGTCCTGGGACGTATAAGAAAGTAGGCTGAGAAAGCCATGATGAACAAGCCAATAAGCAGAGCTCTTTTATGGTCTGAGTCAGGTCCTGCTTCGAGGTTCCTGCCTTGAGTTCTAGCCTGATTCCCCTCAGTGATGCTACCTGGAAATATAAGATAAGATAAAATAAACCCTTTCCTCTTCAAGTTGCTTTTGGTCATGGTCATGATACAAACTTCAGTAGGTCAGAAATTAGCACTAAGAGTGGGGTACTGTGGTGTTAGATCTGACCATATTGTTTTAGGGAGGATTGTAGAAATGCTTGGAACTATGGACTGGAAACACCAGAGTGCCCAGAGCTTAATGAACTGTTGTGGGAAGTTGGAAGATAACACAGAGAGCAGTGCAGACAATGGAGGCCTGCCTTGTGAAGTTTCAGAGGGAAGCAAAGACTCTACTGGGGCAATGGTGTGATACTTTGTATTAAAAATCTGTTGTGTGGTCAGCTGGAGCCAAATACTCAGCCATGATTAACAAGAGAGCATAACTACTCAAGTGAAATCTTCACTTTGCTGGGACAACCAACACTGGTCAACTGGGGCTGAAGAATCTGCTCTGATAAAGAGGTGAAATCCACAAAATATTTCCTCAGGATTGACACACAGAAGCTGTGGTCCAGAGATGCCAAGTCTGTACCTTGTGCTGGCAGTTGAACTATGTGATGTGTAAGAGTTTCCCAAGTGGTACTGGTGTGGTTTTAGTTTTGAAGGCATGAAGGGGTCATGGAAAGCAGATGAGACTTGGCACTGTGTATGGCCAGGAGAGACCAGTGGTGAAGATACAGCCTCAGCTGCACCAGGATTAAAGGGGTCATGTAGAGATGAGGCTTGGTACAATGTGGCAGGGCCAAAGGCCCTGAAAAGAGCAGAGCAGAGCAGAGGTTACTAGTAAAGGATAGTCCAATTGCAATGGAGACCTCAGCATTTTTTGAAATGCCAGTACCATGAGATGACCACCAAGGACAGCAGCAGCTATAGGAGGGGACAAGCTGGGTGTGCTGTGCATGGCAGAGCTGGAAAAGTGGAGATGCCTACACTCTCTGGAGCCTAGGACACTGCAAGTCCCAGATGAACTTTAAGTTGTCTGCACTGCTGGAGGTTGGCTTTGTTTTGACCTGTGATTGTGCCCTAATTCTTCCCTCTTGGGGTAAGAAAGTATCTAACTTATTTTTAATTTTACACATACCTACAGTTAATAGATTATCTTAGTTAGGGTTACCATTGCCATGTGAAAGAGTCTAGAGCACTGTGAGAGGTATTACCCCTGGGCCAGGCCCCAGTAGTCCAGGGAGAAAGCAAACTGAGCAAGCCAGTAAGCTGCACTATTGCTTCCATTCCTGCCCTGAGTTCCCTCTATGATGAACTACAATGTAGGCTGAAATAATCCCTTTCTTTCTTAGGCTGCCTTTGGTTATGGACTTTTAGCACAGCAACAGAAAAACAGCTAATAGACCTATCAAATGCTTTACAGAATTTACAAGTGTTTTATGAACATTTCTCACAGGGGACCTGCACATAGAGAAGGTCTAAACCATATTCACTTTAAAAGACTGTGAAGTAGTAATTTTGCCACTTTTCATTGTACAGCACACACCACAATGAAGCCATCTGTTTTCTATCTATGTTGTATTTATTTAGATTTGGGGGAATCATCTGCCAGGCTTTGGGGGATGTTAAGAACAAAGTCCCAGTTCTCCTGATGCTTATACTCCAAAGAGAAAACAAAATAGTGACATTCAACAAGCCTACTGTACGCCTACTACTGCACCTTACCCTACGTAGTATTTTGTCTGCTGTGAACACAAAGGTTGATTCAAACCAACCCACCCATCCACCCACCAACCAAGCAACCAAGCAAGTGACTAGTTACACAGGTTAGTCCAGCATTCCCCAAACACACATCTCTTACATGAACCAAAGAGCCCTGTTCTTGGTAGCTACCACTCACAGCTAGATGAGTTTGAATGAACTTCAGTGTTTGCAGTTTCATCTAGAACCCATAATAGAAACACTAAGATGCATGCCACCTTAGATGAACAAACTGCACATATCACACAAGAGGCTGCCACAGCAACAGAAAGGAAAACTGAAAACAACAGGCTAAGAGATTAACACAGCCTCCCTTCCAAGAGAATGGACCAAGATTAAAAAAGTTTTGTGTCTGAGTGTATCAAAATGGTTTCCCAAGAAAGCAGGATTACAGGGATGTGATCTAGAACCTGACTGTGGGAAAGTGTACCCAATAAAGAGTGCAGAGGGTAATTCTAGGAGTGACAGGATCCTCAAACTGTGTAAAGAAATATTGTTTTATCTTGCCTGCCAAAGGCACCTGCCTGGTTTAATAGAGCTGAATGTCCAACAGCTAGGCAGGAGAGAATAGGTGGTACATCCAGAGAAAGAAAGAAACTCTGGGAAAAAGAGTCAAGAGACGCCAGTGAGATATGAAGGAAAGCAGACACACATTATGGAAAAAAAGGTAACAAGCCATGCGGCAAAACGTAGATTATAAAATTATAAGAGCTAGTTGGGAACAAGCCTAAGCTAAAAGCCAAGCTTTCATAATTAGTAAGTCTCCGTGTGTCATTATTTGGGAGCTGGCAGTTCCCAAGAAAAAGTTCAACACAAGAAGGTCCTACTACATATTATCACTGATTCTACATTTGTCAAAATCATAGAACTGTACAAAAGTACAAAAGCCACTATTATTGCATGAAAACTAAAGTTATTAACACAGTATATAATAAGATATTCAAGAAAAATATAGTAAGCCTCTCCTGGTAATGTGTCCCTTGGTGTGGGAGTATGAATTCTCAGTAGCCTGACTCTGCTTTTTACACACTAATGCTGAGCAAGCCATTACACAGAAAGCCTTTGTTCATGGGCTAGCCTGGCCAGGACCTTCAATCCCATCATTACTCCTCAAGCTACCAAGGTCCACCCTGCCCTGGCAGCATGCTGAGTCAACTACAGGTTTCTGTTTCCAGGCTCTAACCAATAATTGTTACTTATCCATTCCCCCCAACTTTGTGGGCCTGCCTGTGGGCCTTTGAACAGACCCCCTCTCATGCCAGAACCCTCCTTGTACGCCTGCTACCATGCTCACTCTCCTCTCCATCCTCAGAGCTCAGTTCAAATACACCCAGAGAAGAGTGGGATTGCACTGCTCACTCTGCAACACGACACAGGAAGAGTGCTGCAAACATACACTGCTCAAAAGCCCTCAATAACTGGGACTCATCAAACCACCAAGGAAGTGGTAGCATAGCATCTACCTTCCTGATCTCTAAGGGAAGAGGAGGAGTTGCCAGGAAAACTCACCTTTTCCCTACCAACAGCTCACCCAGGACCCTGTTAAGAGTTACTTATGTTTGCTGGGTGAATGGATGAGTGGTCTGATATATAAAGATTTTTATCCCAAATACATAAAAAATTCACAACACTCAAGAATAGGAATACTACAACTCCAGTACGGCCAGGACAGTGTTCTTCATTCCCAAAAGTGAACATAAACGACTCACTGTTGGCTTCCACTCGGCTCCTGTGGGCTTGTGGTGATTGGCTTTATGTGTTAACCTGACTGGGCTACAGAATACCCACATGTGGTCTTCTGTTCTTCTGGGTGTTTCTAAGGTTCAAAAGAGTGGCTCTCACCCAGTCAGCCAGAAGCTAACTGCCTGAGTTGGGACATCAGTTTATTCTTTTCTTCAAGTTCAAAAGCATCAGCTGTTTGGGTCTTGAGAACATGAGCTTTGCACTGAGAACTTGCACCACTCACTGCCCTGATTCAGGTCAGCTTTCCTAGGTCCCCAGACTGCTAACTGCACACTCACACCTTGTAGTTCTCAGCATACATCACCATGGAAGCAATTTCCTTAGAATTAATCCATTTACTACAACTTCTATGGAACATTTTGAGGGCTTACATGTTACTTTCTATGTACTCTGAGGATTTCTATGTAGATTCCTTACCTTGGATCTACACAGCACATTTTGCCACCTGCCCCTTTCTACAGGGTGCTGGGAAGGCACTTCATTCCACCATACTGAAGAAGGGCTCATTTTGTGATTTCTTTTAGGTTTAGGTTCTTGGAATAAACAAATGAAACTATTCTGAGAACACACTGGACCTATAAAGATACACAGTGTCACGTATTACAAGAAGGTAACCCAGCTGCAGGACATCTGTAATCCATAAATTCAGTAGGGCTGTTATAGTCCATGTAACAGTGGGGACTTGAACCTTCTCAGACACCAGAAATGTCCTGAGGAATACCTGATGCCAACTCTGGGAGTGTAGTCTCAATAAAGTAGAAGCAGCGTGACCTGATCCCTCCATTTCTGACAAATAAACACATATTCTCACTGTTAGGACATGGCTGCTGGTGCAAACCTTGGCTGGCACGACCTTGAGTAGTCCCGCTGCCCCAC